CACTGGGACACTGCCCTGACACTGCCCTGGGTGGCACTGAGACACTGCCCTGACACTGCCCTGAGACTGACACTGCCCCAGGGTGGCACTGAGACACTGCCCTGACACTGCCCTGGGGACACTGGGACACTGCCCTGACACTGCCCTGGGTGGCACTGAGACACTGCCCCAGGGTGGCACTGAGACACTGCCCCAAGGGGGGCACTGGGACAGCCCTGGCACTGCCCTGGGGACACTGAGACACTGCCCCAAGGGTGGCACTGAGACACTGCCCTGGGTGGCACTGGGACAGCCCTGACACTGCCCTGGGTGGCACTGAGACACTGCCCTGACACTGACACTGCCCCAGGGTGGCACTGAGACACTGCCCTGACACTGCCCTGGGTGACACTGAGACATTGCCCCAAGGGTGGCACTGAGACACTGCCCCGGGGACACTGGGACAGCCCTGACACTGCCCTGGGTGGCACTGAGCCTGAATGCTGCTCTGCTCCATGAGGGTGACATTGATAGGCATGGCACTCGTGGGGGTGGCACTCATGGGGGTGGCACTCAGGCTGAACCACTGCTCTGCTCCATGGGGGTGACACTCGTGGGGGTGACACTCATGAGGTGGCATTCATGGCGGTGGCACTCGTGGGAGTGACACTTGTGGGGGTGACATTCATGGGGTGACACTCACCTGAACGCTGCTCAGCTCTCTGGGGGCAAGGACATGTCCTGTTCGGGAGGGACAGCTGGGGATGCTGTGGCCAGCAGGAGCAGGGACAGTTTGGGTGCCGTGTCCCCACTTTAGGAAGGACACTGAGGTGGCGGAGCGAGGGCACCATGGCTGGGCAGGGTCTGGAGCACAAATCCTGTGGGAGCTGGGGGTGTTTGTGCTGGAGCTGAGGAGGCTCAGGACAGACCTGCCCCAAACTCTCGGTGCTTTTTGTACCACCTGGCTCGGCTGCCTCATACTGAGAACCTTCATTATTCACTTTGCGTGCTTGTTAAAACTCACCCAAAACAGCCACATCCCCCAGAACAGGGAAATGAGGGGAAATAAAAGGAGATGCTCAGACCTCAGAGGAGCTGGGCCAAAGTCAGCTCCGCGGCGTTGTGTTTGTTTTCAGAATTAAAATCCCCCAAAAAAACCCAAAAAAAAGCTTTAAAGGAACTGTTTTTCCCTGTTCTTTCTTTCCGACGCTAGAGGGGGCAGGCAGCCCATGGAAAGCTCCACGCAGAGCAGGGATGCGGGATGGAAGCAGCACTGCCAGAGCTGTCCATGGGTGGGGACATGGGGACATGGCAGGAGGAGCTGTGGTGGCACAGTCTGTGCCCTTCCCCAGAGCCCGTTATTAAATCAGTCATGCAGCACGGAGCTGGCACGAGAGAAACAGACTGCAGGGGTACAAACCACTTGGTTTATATTTAGAAAAACGTCTTGCTTGTTAGACTGGGAAAAAAAGGATCTAAAAGAGCATTTTTACATTTTAAATGCAAGTCAGAACTTATAAAAAGCAAATTAATAATTTTTTTTCAAAGTTTCTGTTCTGAAGGAAGGGGTAAAGAAAATCCGTGTGGGTGTTTCTGGAGCAGCAGATTCAGCAGGGTTAGGCTGAATTAGCTGCTGTGTGTGTGAATCCTGCCTGGGGGCTGTGTTTAACTGGGCTGTTTTTCCCTCTCTGAAGGTGCTCCCAGCCCCCTGAAGCTCCACGGCACCACGGACACCTTCCCTTCGTGCAGCTCCGGAGAGGAGCCCGGGCACAGCCTCGCCGCCTCTGCCCTCTGAGCAGCAGGGCTGGTGGCACACGAGGCTGGAAATGCACACAAGTCCAGGCTGGATGAAGAATTCCTGCAATACAAAGGATTTTTTAAACTTTGCCAAAAGCAGAAACGCTCCTGTGGATGTTGGGGAGAGGAGCCAAGCCACCAAACCCTCTGGTGTAACTTTAAATACGCTGGACGGAGAAGAAATCACTCCCTGGACACTCCCACTGATTTTGTATGATAGGTTTGTTGTAAATACGTGAGAATCTGCTGTTGTGTGGTTATTTTGGCTCCTCACACCGGTTTGTGGCAATGCTTCCCTTGAATTATTCCCATTATTGTCACCCTGTTCCTGATCTCTGGAATGGCGGCCAGTTTGAAGCAGCTCTTGGATACAATTTCTCCTGTTTGAAGACTTGATTGATTTCTTTTAAAAGAATCTCCTCTTTCCTGTATTTATTTCCATCTCTGTAAACACTGACAATAAAAAAAGTCCCGCGCAATTTGTGGTGGAGTGTTATTTTATTTTTGTCATTCAATTAGCACAAGCTGATTTTCTTCTAGGACAGAATAATTGGGGCTTTGAGTTAAAAACAGCAACAGGTAAATGCTGGATTTCCACGTGCAGGAATTTTGTGGGAACAGAGCTGGAGGGGAATGGGGGCTCTCAGGGAAGCCAAGCTCTGAGAGTGGTGCAGGCAAATGTGTTTGTGAAGGAAATAAAATCAATCTGCCATCACTGGGGAAGGTACCCCACAGTGCAAAGATAAACTTAATTTATTGTAAATAAGGATTATGTTCATCCCTATTTTTATCATAGTTCAAACCTTTTCTTTCCTTTAAATAAAGGAGATCTTCCTTTTTTATCTTGATCAAGATTTAATAAAGCAATTTTTGCCTCCTTGAGGGAAGGCAGTGATTGATTGAAGTGGGTTGGTTTAGCATTTGTCTGAATGAAACGCCTTTTATTTTTCCAGCTTTCCCTGCTGTCAGTGCTTATTCTTATAATTGTGTTTAGCTTTCCTTTCCCTTCCCTCACAGCAGAAAAGCTCCATTAATATTGAAGGTGAGCATCTCTGGAATCCGTGGCTTGCAGGCAGGTTGGCAGTCAGTTAAACAGTCCCAGATATTGAATTAATTCTGGCAGAGCCGGGCCTGAGCCTGGTGCTGAGCATTTGCAGCCCTGCAGCCCCGGGCTCTGAGATCAGGCCAGGCTGTGAAATCTGCTGTTCTCATTAACTTCCACCAGGCAGATTGATCCTCTGCTCCCACCAACACTAATGAAGCTTTCTCTGGTTTTTTAGGGAATATCCTGCCCCTGCCACGAGCCCTGAGATGTTTGAAGGAAAGCTGCTTTCACACAGGAGGCTCTAATTAGAACCTGGGCTCGGCTCTATTGATTGCTCCACATTCTGGATTTACCAATGCAGGAAAAGTTTGTGGTGATTTTTTTATTGCCTCTGGGTTCTGATGTTGGAGATCTGGAGGCTGAGAGCCTGAGACTTTGTGTGCTGACAAACTCTTGACCCCCAGAAGAAAAATACTACATTTGGCCTGAGGCTGTGGAGAGGGCTTCCAAAATTGATGGATAGAACTGGGATTACAAGTGTGTAGTGTGATTGGAAGTGTGTAATGTCATGTAGTAGAAAACTTAGAGATTAAAGTTTTAAAATACAGTAAAATTTATAAAACAAGATAAAAAATTTAACACAGAAACGAGTAAACTCCTTTACCTTCTTCACCTTCTTTTTCATAAGTTGTAGTGTGTTGTAATTAGACAAAAAAGTGCACATTGTGGACTTGGAGTGATTAGTTATTAAATTTAAAGTAAAAATAATTTAGGTGTAATTTCTTAATTAAATACTTTTAAAAACCTTATAAAGAAAGATAGTAAGTTTTGACAATCCAAAAAAAAAAAAGAAAATTAAGGGAATTGGGTGCTGAGGCATTCAGAGTTGTTGCTTTGTCCATGAGTGTTTTCCCAGCTTTTCCACAGCCTGGGAATCTTGCAGATAAAAGGAGGGAGGGTTTCATCTGCTCTAAGCCATCACAGGACTGATTTTATTCACTCTGGTGAGGTGAAATTTTGTTTTTCCAGGCGCAGGGTGCAGGGAATGAGGGGAGGAATGAGGGGGTGAGTGAGGGGATGAATGAGGGGAGGAATGAGGGGAGGAATGAGGGGATGAGTGAGGGGATGAATGAGGGGAGGAATGAGGGGAGGAATGAGGGGATGAGTGAGGGGAGGAATGAGGGGAGGAATGAGGGGAGGAATGAGGGGAGGAATGAGGGGATGAATGAGGGGATGAATGAGGAGCCGGCAGTGTTTGCTGGCCGGGTGCAGTGCCCGAGGCTGCCGCGGGATGCCAGCAGGAGCTGTGCTGAGTTCTGCTCTGGAGACACGAATTGCTCAGTACCCAAACCTGCTGCTGCTCCTTCAGGTATTCCGGCAGGGCCATGGAGCTGTGGTTAAAATGGATGTGAAATTGTGGCTGTGAACAGGAAAGGAAAGATTTAATAAAAACACGCTGGGACAGACAAGTTAAAACAGATTATTCTGATTCTCTGATTAACCAAGGTGGGACAGCAGTTTAAGGCTGTGACACTGGGGTTTGACATGAGATTTCTGAATTTGGTAGCTGGATGCTCCCAGGTGATGCTGTCACCTGCCTGCTCTGTTTGGGGGTTATGTGGGCACAGTTCTCACCATCCTCTCTCCACTTGTTTTCCATCATGGAACCACTCAAATGCTTCTGGAATTAAAACCTGGAGGGCAGCGCCATCCTGAATCAGAGAATAACCCCCAGGCTGTCCTGCCAGCGCACACAGGTTTATTTTCCCCATATGCAAGGTGCAGAATTGCTTGCCCGGGTATTGTTCCTGTTGCTGCTCCCTTTGCTGTGAGCTCCAGAGGATCCTTGCAGATGGTGAAATTCCCTGAAATCCCCCCAGAGCAAGGCAGGAGGTGCTGACCCTTCCACTCTGCCCCAGGAGTGCAGAGAGGATGGAGCTGAGCCAGAGCCCTGCTCATTCCAGAGCCCTTTCCCTCTCCAAGGATTTCCCCCTTTTCCCTCTCAGTTTGTTTGGGTTTGGGGTGTTAAATAATATAAATAAATATAAATAATATAAATAAATATAAATATTAAAAAAATAAATATAAATAAATATACACGTCAATATACTCCTTAAATATGTGGTATTTACATGTCCTCCTTTCCCCTGAGGAAGCTCTGGAGCTGTGGAATTGTGTACCAGTAATTAATGGCAATTGGTAATTAAAAAAAATTAAAAAAATAAAAAAAAGGTTCCCCTCTGTGGGGATGCTCTGGGCAGGGCAGAGCCTTGTCCCAGGTTTGGTGAGGTGTCCTAAGAGCTCAGGGTTTATTTATCACTCTTCTCCCCATTAACTTCCATCACTTCAGCTGTCACCTCTGAATTTATTCACTCCCAGGAAAAAAACCATTTATTTCCCTGGCCTGTGGAGTGGGGAGGAGTGATCAGCCATGCAATCAGGAGATGCTGATCTCCATAGAAATCCTCTCCTCTCTGACATGAATGGGAATTATGCACCCTTAAACTGTATTAGTTCCACTCCTTAGGCAGCCACAGAGCAGGGACACAGCGAGTTCAGCAGCCAGAGGAAAAGGCTGCACCAATTTCAGGGGGTTTTGAATCAGGGCAGGAGTCTGAAATAATTAAATCTGCAGGATTGGAGCAGGGAAGGAGTAAGGAAAGGTTCTCTCAGTCTGGAGGTGCTGGAGCATCACTGCTCAGGGCAGGCAACCCAACAAGCTGCTCCAAATTTTGGCAAGTAGATTAAAATAACAGATCTGATTGATTCCTATTTTAGTGCTGAATCCTCCACTGCTGAGGGCAGCTTTGTTCCTTGGGCTCCCTGGGAGTGCCACTTTGGTTTGTGCTTATTTCTGTCCTCTGACTTTGTTGTTGTTCTTGCGCTGCAAAAACCAAAAGCCACTCAGATGGGTTTGGCTGAGCAATCATCCCAACAAAATATAAATTATTGCAGAGGGTCCATCTGCATAAACACACATCAATCTGCTCCTTAAATATGTGGTATACACACGTCAATATACTCCTTAAATATGTGGTATACACAC